GAGTCCTCGTTTCGTATAGCAGCACGTCCTTGCCAGTCTCCATTAAATTGCAGTTGTGGCTTTACACTCCGTCGGATGTCGCGTGTAGAGGCCAAGCAGTCGTCCTCTAAGAACGGGAAGAAGATTTTCAGATTTGAAAGCGAGACCGATAAGATTCCGTTGTTCTCGAGTTCGCGTATCGGCAAGAGAGTGGCTGTGAAAGATTTCGGAGTAGACGTAGACGACCTTCTCCACGGTATTACGGTTTCATGGGGGACTGAAGTGCAGCCATCTTACTCTTCAATTTTCGAAACTTCTCTGCTGGGCTCCTGATCCTTCTCTGTTTCTGTTGCTTCAATATACCTGCTCTTTTTTCTTTGAGATCTTCCTTTATTGCTATCCTGCAAAGCTTTGCAAGATCGAACGTTAGTCGGTAACTGTCTACGGCCTTTGCACTTCGCGTTTAAGTACGAGTTCGAGAGTTTTTGGGAAAGGCGTTTCCTGGTGCTTCTAAAACCCTCGGAGTCGTAGCACTAAAAAAGTCACGCGACTCTCCCATGTTGTCGATGACAGTATTCTTCTCGCGACATGCCTTAGAGAGAAAATCTTAGTAAAATAGGATCTAAGAGAATCTTAGACCATGCTTCCTGAATACTGCGGTTATGTTCCCTCTCTGAAGAGAAGGAGACGATGATCCGATCTCGCTTGGAACTGCGGAACGACAGCCATCGAATTGGTAATACCTAGAAAAGCGACTTCGTAGAACTTTACCGTGGTACTCTCCATCCGAAGATTTTGAAGCCCAATGTCGAGGATATCATTCAAGACTTTTTGAACTGAAACCTGCCCTGTTCGTTAAAGTACATTCCACGGTCTGCTGCGAAGTTCTTCAGTCAACCTCCTGAGGCCAATTAGCGTTCGTAATTTGATGCTAGAGTGTAAGAACAAAGTTGGCTAAAACTAAAGCTTCCAAGTCTTCGACGGAAGACATCAATTTTGTTTGGCAGTCACTCGAAGAAATCAATCTTTATAGCCATAACCGTGTTGGGTATTCTACAGGTGCATCCGAGCGAGCATCCATACGTTATAAATTGTAACCGTGGTCTTTTTTTCTATGTAGTTTTGATCTCCCTTGCATCCTCTCATCCCTTCTGAAGCTGCCATCAAGCGCTCCTACTTGGCCAAAAGAACACTTTTGTTATCACCTTGTGTAGCGAATTAAAAGGACCTTACGGAGGAAATTTATTCGCTAAGAGTTGCTTGCAGAATTCTATACTCCATAGAGGCAGAATGTTCAAGACTTAGGCTGTTTGCGGGACTCCCGTAAGGTCATTTTAATCGCGATTGTCCCTGAGGATGCGCCAGAGGCCTATGACGATTCCAGATCCCTCACAAAGAGGAAAATGTAGCGCTACATATCATGGTTTATTGAGAAAAGAGTTCTAAAGAGGCTTTTCATTGTCGCTACATTCCTATGAAAACAACTATATGGCGATGCGAAAAAAAATCCGTGCTAAAAGATACTGCAGATTATCTAATAACAATGTAACTTGTCCTACAGATCCAAAACATCCACTCGTTAAGATTCTAATATGGCCCTCTAGCATAATGCACCGCATATGTAGAGGAAATGGTGGTAAAAATGAGAACATTTCTGTTTGTTGTAGAAGAGGACTTAGCGGAGCAAAGTGCTCAGTCCTTATAACTGGCTCTTTAGCTGAACAGGCTATTTTGACAAAATCTGATTTATTGTTGAAATGCAGTCAGACAGATAT